TAACTCGGACAGACCGAGTAAGACTGATAAATATAATATAAAATGTAATAGTCATCTAAAACTGGGAATAGAACTTTTCAAGAGATCAATAAACAGATATGATAATGGCACAGATATCAGTAAAACCTTTAAATAGAAGTAGAGCAGCTGATGGCAGCTTCCTCTGCCTCACACTGCTGTCTGACTGCATTCAGCTGACACTGAGAGGAAGCAGCTGATATTTGGACAGCACACATGATGGAAAGCAGGATTTCAGTTGATGTGCACATGAATTATTTGTGTTTCCTCTGCAGGTGAAGGTAGAAAGTGTGTGTGAGCTGATGTGAATTGAGCAGCATGGATCAGTGTGAGGACAGAGAGGAGGGAGTCCCTCCCTCTCAAACCACTCTGTGTGGGGGACATGAGAGCCAGACCAAAGCTCAGAGGTGAGATGACCATCTCTAACTGTCCATGACTCTTCTCCATGTCACAGCTCAGCACTCACATGGTCACACTCAAAGCTCCAATAAACACATGCTGGATCCATCTTGTAGTGTGTGGGAACATATAACGCAGTGAAACGTGCAGGGTGTGATAAACACAGCCAGGCTCCACAAGAACATGAGAGGATAGTTTAGAGGTTTGATCTGGTTGTGAAATAAATCATTCAACCACAAATCAAAGCTGTAAACAATGAATCCCTTATTCTTCTTATTCTTATTCTATCCTGGTTATTTTTCTAGCATCAAACATCAACAAATACATTACAAGTCGACCAAACAAGTGGCTCAAAGAGCAAATTAAAAAAAAATAACGATAATTCTTAAACATTTAGGCCAATTTCTTAATATAACTTTTTTTTCTGAGTAATACATGCTGGAGGCTGGTGAGTGCTGCAGGTGAAGGAAAAAAGGGTAAAGTATATAAATACTCATTATTTCTAACATTTATTAGCAATTTTACATGAATCATAACACAAATGAGTTTTAGAATGAAAGAAATGTATATTTACTAATGTAACACCAGTTATCATATTTATCTCACTCATAAGGTAAGGTAAAGATGTTCAATATTAGAGAGAGGCGCCAATGATAATCATCTGTGAGCAGCTCTTGGTGAAAGTGGGGAGGAAGAACCTCCTACAGGTCAGATGTCTGTGGAGAGAGAATCTTCTGTGAGCAATGATTTAACATGATTTTCTCTCCATGTCTGTCAGAGTCAGTGGGAGAACCTGTTGGCCTCATGTCCTCCAGAGGTTTTCTGAATCCAGCTGTGTGTCTCTGAGGAGTAATCAGTCCATAGAGCCTCCGCTGTTCTTTGCTCCAGACATGTAAGCTGGAACTGAGTCCTTAATGCCACATTCGTGTGTTCAGTGTTACTTTCCATTAGGTTTGTGTACCTACAGCATGTCAGCTTTATGTGTT